AGCAGGGAGCAGTGAACTGATGCATGCATGCCTGTGCTCACTTTATGTCCTTTCAGCCAGTCCCAGGCCCAGCTCTTGATGGAGCTGCCCATATTCAGCATGTGAATTTCCACCTCCATCAACCTAATTTAAAAAAATGTAAGAGCACTTGTTGCTACTGCAGAGGACCTGAGTTTGGTTCGCATCCACATGGTAGCTAACAACCATCTGTAACCCCAGTTCAAGTAGATCAGCTGCTCTCTTCTGGAGTCTCCAGGCATTGCATGACACAGGTGCATTTCATACATGCAGACAGAGCATTCATACACATAATGAAAACAAAATCCCTCACAGGTAAGCGTATAGGTCAACCTGACCCAAACAATCCCTCATTGGCACTTCTTTCTTAAATAATTCTATTTTGAGTCAAGTCCATAACACAAATCATCAGAGTCTTTAGTAATTTAAAGTTGGACACTGCCCCGATAACTGATCTTCAGTAAAAGGACATTATGTGGAGCCAGGTTTCAGCATTTTTACATCAAGTGAGGCAAAAATCTTTTAATGTGAGAATTGCTTTTTCATGTCCAAAAATCACTTAATTCCTTGTGGAAGCCAATTTACTATGTAATGAGGCGTTTTAATTCCAATCCAAATTAAATTTTAACTTCCGTGGTTCATGATTTTCTCCTACTGCAGACTAAGGCATGTTGTTTGTTGATTCTTGTTCCTTTTCCCTTCTAGACTTCAGATAATTCTGAAAAATAGTTTATTATTTTTATTTTATTTTATATGTATGAGTGTATCGCCCCCATGTGTGTGAGAGAAGAGGGCTTTGGATTCCCTCGGAACTGGAGGAAAGGACGATTCGTGGCCGCCATGTGGGTACTGGGAATTGAACCCGGGTCCTCTGCAAGAGCACTCAGTGCTCTTAAGCACTGAGCCATCTCCTCACCCCCCCCCATGATTTTCTCATTTCACATTCATAGTGTGATAATTTGTGAGTAGCTTAGCATAGCTGAAGAGCCTCAACTGTTAAGTTGTAAGTGTTCCTCCTTTCTCCATGTCCATTCCCTATAACATGTAAAGCTTGAAAACAGGCACCCCAAAGAGAAAACACCCGAGAATGAAACCAAGCACATTAACCCCCCACCTTCTCTTCTGCAGCAATCGGCTCGGGGAGAGTACCCCAAGACAGGTGAGAGTGAAGGGAGCGGATCGGCCCTTTGCTCAGGACATCTGACTGCGGACCC